CTGTTATTGTGATTTTTCATCAAATAAAATACTTTTAACTGTCTGTGGTTGTGAAAATCATGGATGAACTGTAACAAGTCATGTGGAAATGTGACCTGATTAAAACCTGTCATCTCTCCAGTGTATTACAACTGTGTCAGATGACTCCAGGCTAAAACTGAGGTGGACCAGAACAGTTCTGTATATTTTACTAAAGGCCACCAGAACCAGAACTGTGGTACCAACAATCCTTCTTTCCTGTAGTAACGTATAGTAGTCTGTTTATTGGTAAATAATAGGATTTACCCAAGAAAAGAACCAAACAAAAGGGAAAGCACCTTTTCAAAATAAATTCACTGGTTCTATTTGCATCGCAGCTTCGTAGCAACTTTATTACTCTCTCAGGTTATGGTGTGCAACATTTTGAACTTGTTTTGTCTTTTTTTACGTTGCTCAATTGTAAATTAGATTAAATATACACGTTAAGTATGTAGGGAATGATACTTATTATTCTTCTGAAATCGGTAATGTAATGATTTTTCTTGATTTGCTGCTCTAATTGTTAAATAATGTATGCATTAAAAATAAAATAAAATAAAATAAAATAAAATAAAATAAAATAAAATAAAATAAAATAAAAACATTTGAACGAATGTTTCTTTTATTTTGAAAGCTGAAACCGGAACTGGGATTTATTAGCTTACTTTGATCCTGGAAAGCAGCAAGTGCATGCAGAGCACCGTCTGAATTTAGGTTGCTTTCAAGCWAGAAACACCCTCTCTACTTCTGTTAGGAGCTTGGTTATATGTCAGCCAATGGTTTGAAGCTCATTTATTTTTGTATTTTTTGTTTCGGTGGTAGTTTTTCCAGGAGCCGAGGAGCGACAGCGAGTGTCAGAGGAATATTACCGAGTTCRTTAAAGGCTGCGGGGCTTTCGGTGTGGAGGTGAGTCGCATCAAACGATACAAGTAGGATTTAAAACTCATCTAAAAAACGTATTTATCTTCTCAGTTTTTCTGTAAGCATCTACTGTTGAGCCGTTCTTGTGTTTAAAGGCTGTTAGTGGAAATATTGACGTGTAATTACAAGTTAGCTTGACTTTAATTATTTTAATTCATCCTATCACTCAGGACAAACTTCTTAGACATTAGACAATAAGCTGGATTTTGTTTTAGCATCCTTATCTTATAGATTTGGAGCACACAAAAAGTCATTACTAATAACATGTTTTTGCTCTAATTCTCCCCCAGAAATAGCAGAACTGATTTATAATCAGTGTTTGTGTACTTTTAGATCTAATCTCAGATCTGTTGTCATTCAAAGCTCACGACAAGGAGGAAGCACATATTTTATAGGAGTCTGTGTATTGGGATAATAAAACAACTAAGTAAACAGCTCAAAACAGCTCAATAGTAGGCTACATCAACAAACATGAGCAGCAATCACAACTGGGCTTTGGACCTTTTTGCGTTTACAAACACAGTATTTTGCAATGCATTGTGGTCAAGATATACTGTATATTCATGTCTACTTCCAGTTCTTTGAAACTCACTTTGTCCACAGTGTTCATGTCTAGTTATGTTTCAGCTCTGCAGTCATTCCCGTCAACATTGCACGTTGAGGACATTTCTCTACCATAACATAAAATAACAACAAAGCTATAATACATGATTGTGTATAAAAGTAATTAAAAGTGTGTGTAAAGGACCAAAAGAATAGACGCAGGCATGGACAATCCTTGTCCTGGAGGGCCGCAGCCCTGCATGTTTTACTTGTTTCTCTGCTCCAACACACCTGATATGAATGAATAGATGATTATCAGGCTTCTGCAGTACGGAGGACCAAAACTGACATAATTAGAAATAAAAGCAGAATTATATGAACCACTAAATAAATACACGTAAAATGCACCAATTAAATAAAAAAAGGAGAACTTTATCTCCTGTTTTATATTTTAATTGACTTTCATATTTATTTTTCCAGGTTAGTTCCAATAAATTAGGCTATATA